ATAATCAAACAAGTGGAAATTAGTTAATGGCGTAACCTAAAACCCCAACGAGTCGTCCTCACATGTGGCTCGCCCTCTTATACGTGTGCTCCAGGGAGACGATCCCCCATACCTGGCCGACCGGTCTAATCCTCATTTGACCAGCCCTCTCATTGTTTGTCCATTCTCTCTTTTCTTTTCCATACCAATAGGTCAGATAGTACTCCTCCAATCTAGATCATCTCAAGTTATATATATATACCAACAGGAGGCAACTCGGTGGTCTCCATCTAATCTAGATCATCAAGCGCACACAACAGGAGGCCACCCTGCGGGCTCCAATCAAATCTAGATTATCAGGTGCGCAACAACAAGTAGCCATCCTGTGGTTAATGATAACGGTAACGGTAATGGTAACGGTAGGTACACACGGGGGCGCCGATCTCCCATTTACTTGGCCGACGGTCCAACCATCCTCACAAACCCATGGTGACCTACTTCATCCCAACTCCACACAAACAAAGCATAGCATTATCACAACGCAATTAATCAAACATTGCAAGTAGATGCAAACATATTGATCAGTTGAACATGCAATGCACAATTTAGGCATTCCAAAATCAAATGCAAATAAAAAGTAATAGTAGTTAACAACAAACAATAATAAGATCCAACAAATAATAATAATGATAAGAACAATAACAATGAAAATGAATTAAATAAATATTCGAAATACTTAAATGAAATAAAACAAATGATAATAAATAATAATCAGAGTACTTATATTTATAGAATTTATTTAAAAAACTTATTAATTACTATGTTAATTTAAAATCTAATCTAAGTTCTTACCGAAATTCAGCTTGGCAGGCCATCTCCCCTAAAAATGCGACTATCTATAACCTTGTTAACAATATCAACAGTCTCAAACAACGATATCAAATTCCCCATTACGGCCCATCCGTTCGCGGCAATTTAATCAAAACAACATTTTCCCCATCAACTCCTTAAATCTTCAACATCACCACAACAATCCATTTTATACATTACAATGTAACATTATATCTTAATTAAATTAACATATAAAATTATAAAGCCTATTAACTACTCACATCTACCCAAATTAAATTAACTACCATTTAATTAACCACAAATAATAGGGTTAATTTAATTAACTAACATTTCTACCATTAACTTAGCTAGATTAATTAATTACAAATAATAAAATTGATTTCATTACCTAATATTAGTTAATTTAATTTAGTTTAATCAACTAATATTAACCTAATTAATTTAATTAACTATTATTTCATATCTAAATAACATTAACATTAACACAATTAATGTTAATTAATTAACTACTAACAACATTAACTAACACAACTAACTAAATTAACTAAATAACATTAACACTATTAACGTTAATTAATTATGCTAGATCGAAATTTCTTACGCGAGTCGGGTAAAGAAGCGCGAGTCAAGTAAGAAAGCAGGACTGCCGGTGATCGAACTTGAACGGCAGTGCTGAGAGAGGCGGAAGAGAGGCGAAGAGAGGCGGCTGGCAGCGAGGACTCGCAGCTTGGAGCTGCTGCTGTGGGCCGCGCCAGACCTGACAGAGGTCCTGACTGCGCGATCTTGGCGTCTGCGTGACGCTAGGACAAGGCGGAACGAGCCAACAGAGGTCTCCTGGTGACGAGCGGGCCAGTGAGGAATGGGCAAAGTGGCGCTCAACTGGAGCCGCTGGAGGCCTGCTGACAGTGGTGCGAATGCAAGGTGCAGGGAAGAAGAAAGGGAAAGAAAGAAAGAAAGAAAGAAAAGGAAAAGAAGAGAGAAGAAGAAGAAGAAAGAAAGGAGGAGAAAGGTGCGGAGATTGGTGTTGCCGGAGATCGGCCGAAGCGCAGAAAGAAAAATGTTGGGGAAGGGGAGTGTAGCGTGCCTAGAATAGAAATAGAAAGAAAAGAAAATTCTAGATGGTTTGGGTCGAACCGGTCCGGTTCGGTTCGGTTCGGCCCAAATCTTCGATTTTGTGATTGGTTCACGGCTTTACAATCGGTTTTCGGTTCGGTTTTTCACAGTATTCATACTAAAATATTTATATTAATTTCCAGGCTGTCGGTACATAAAATTCAATTGGAAAATGTTATAAAATTAGAAATTCGGGTTGTTTCAAGAAGAGAGGAGGAGAGTTTTGATTAAAATCAAGCAAAAAGGAGGTTCACAGTATTCATACTAAAATATTTATATTAATTTCCAGGCTGTCGGTACATAAAATTCAATTGGAAAATGTTTTGAAATTAGAAATTCGGGTTGTTTCACTTATTATATTATTGAAAAATATAAATATTATTATTTTAGAAGTTATACTAACCACAAATCAATATTTTATATATAGAAGTCAAAACTCTCTAAGTACTGTTGTTGCTGGAAAATATGTAATACTATTAAAATTTGTAATTTTAGGGATATAATAAGTCTTCCATAAAATTTAAATTGCTATTAATTTCCGTCTCAAAAATTGAAAATTTTTGTCCTATTTTTTCTTTAAAATTCTAGTTGTGTTTTTTTATGAATTTCAAATTATGTCCATAAAAATCATTTCATCCTTTTTATTTTAGTTTTTTTACAATAGCAATTACTGATAAAGTAATAATACGAAAAAATAATATGCATTTTTTAAATATAACATAAATCAAGTAATTAAATATATTTTTCAACGTAAGTTCATCTGTTATTCATAGTATTTGTTAAGTAAGATTTTTTGAATAATTTTTTCTATTAAACAAAAATGAAAAGATTGATCAGTGCGATTGAAAATATTGACTTTGATTAATCTAGATACTGGATTATTGTGTGTATGTAATGCTATCATTGTTTATTTTTCAAATGATATTCATAATTAAATTAAATAAGTATCAAATTTAAATCAGGTTAAAAACAATGGTGGCAAAAATAATGATAAGTTAAAATTCATAAAATACGTATAAAGTTAAATTATATATAGTATTTTCATTATTTTATTATATTTAACACTTTTATGAACTAAAAAATAACTATTAAAAATCCTCTATTATAACTTTAGTATGTACATCATTTATTCTTTTTTTTAACTAAAATTTATATAAATGAATTTTGTTTGATTATAATCGATGAAAATAGTAATTTTTTAATCTTTTTTGATGAAAAATAATTTAATAAGTCTACAAAAACCCGATTGATTCACAACTCGATCCATTCTATCTTAATCCATAGACTCGAATTCTTGTCTCATCCCAAAAAATAGGATAGGATGGATGAGACTACTTACCTATTGAGAGGGGATTAAGACTCCATTTTTTATGTCTCGATATTTTGGCGTGGTCCTTAGATGCAAAATTTTTTTTTATAGTAATTTTCTTTTTTTGATTTGGCCTCTTAATTTTTAAAATTCTTTTAGTCTATTAACTTTGGATTTTTGTTAGGTTTATTTATACCAAATATAATCTCATAAGATAGATCTATTATATTGAAAATGCAAAATAAAAAGTCATTGTAATTAGATTTTAGGAATAATTTTACATGTTTTATTTATAAAATTTTAAAACGATATAAACATTTTTCAACTAATTACCAATATTTAAAATCGTAGTTTTTTATAAAATTTATTAAAATAGTTATAATCTCAATATAAAATATATTTATAATCCGATGCTTATTTGGTTGTCAAATTACATTAATTCCTACTTGGGGATTTTGCTCAATGAAAATATAATTAATATTAAAACAATTTGTTCGTCCATTTTTATATGTTTACATGTAAATTACGCCATCCATTTTAGTATTATTTTAGATAAAATTTTTAATTTGGGCATTTCATTTACTTAGGGAATACTTACTTGAAATCCATTTTGCCTAAAGTACAAAATTCGTTTTGTCCTTTTTTTTAAATGCATTAATTGTATGTAAGTTTATATAAAATAATCCATATTTAATTTGTCTTTAATGCTATTTCACGATGTGTTGAGAGTAAAAAAAAAAAAGGAAAAATGGAAAAAAAACCTAATTACTTCATTAATCTTTGTGAAAAAAACATTGCCTAAAGTAATGAGATGGAGAGAATATAATAAAAAGTACTCTTTAATTTGATTAAAACACTTTTTATTCGCATAATCATTTTAATTGTAATTTTATCTCCATTAATCTGCCAATAAAATTAAGAAAGAAAAAGAAAAGAGGAGTGATAAGATGAATTTGAAGAAATTGTTAAATTTAATTATTACATATAGTAAAGATAATGGTAAAAATTAAGAAAATTAATTATTAATTATTTTTTTCATTCCATGTAGGAAGAACCGAAGAAGCAAAATGACATTTGCTGCTAATTTATAGGTTAATTTGCAAAATCAAGATTCTTTAATAATTTGCAATCTAATCCCATCTTTGTTAGCGGAGACCGGAGAGATAAACTAAAATGAATTGGAGGTGAAATTAAGCGATTTGGAAATGTTGACAGCTGTCAACAATAATGTGGACATTAGAGCTTTCTTTGTTTCCCAAATATAATTTTGAAAAAGATACTTTTCATAATTTTTCTATTATTTAGGATAATTCAACAGAAAATATTTTATTAAGTCAAAAGAAAATTAAGTTATTTTTAAAATTTTTTATTTTCGAAAGAATAAAAAATTTATGTTAAATCTTATAAATTCATATTTTTTAATTTATTAATTATCATAATTACTATTATTAGTCACCATTTACCACCGATCATCACCACCAGCTACCACCATCGGCTACATCACTGGCCACCGCCAATAGCGGATTTCATAATTTATATTTTTTTCTACATTCTTTTCATATTTAATAATAAAATTTTTAAACTATAAAATATATATTATTATTAACATTTTTTTATAGTCTCACATAATAAATACATTAATATTTTTAAATAATTTTCAACATTATAATTAAATAATAAAAAATAAATCATTTAAATAAATTATTTTTCTGTAATTTATTTTACAGAAACAAGCCGCCCTTACAGCGCATTTTATTCCACACACACGCGAAGCTATCATTGCTCCAGTTAAGCTAATTTCGTTTCCCCGTCTATAAGTAACAGTGTAACAGCTCCTCTCTGTCGAACTCAATTCTCAAATCTCACTCTCCTGTGATTCCATGGGGTTTTACCAGGGTTTAAATTTCAATTAAACCTTATTTTCAACATAGTCCAAAACCAAAACCCTTAATTACCTCTGTTACCTTTCCAATTCTAATTCCCTCTTTAGCTAGGGTTCCATCGGTGCTCGATTGCTGCTCACTATAGCTCCGGATTTCTGTTTCAATGCTCTCTAAGCTTCGATAATATGCTTTATGGTCTTCCGATGCCTGGGTCCTTTTGCAAACCCTAGAATGCAAACGGTAAGCATTCAGCTGTTTTGGATTGGTTTTGTCTAGGGTTTGCTTGAATTTGCATTGGGTGGCTAAAAATGTCGAAGAAATGATAAAAAAAATTAACAGTGTGGATGTCTCATTGGAACTATGGAGTGGAAGTACTAGGTGTATATCAGTTGGAGAGGCAATGTTTTTCCTTTGATTTTGTGATGGGTTGCCTTCGATGTTGCCTGATTTTTTTTATCTGTGTATTTCTCTTTTATGGAATTATTTTAGTCATTAAAGTAGGGACTAAATTTGAGACTAGGGCCAGTATTTATCTTATTAGACCCAGTTTAGAGGTTTAATGAACTATTTAAGATTCTAAAATGTGGATTTTATTTTCTTTTCCTACTTTCTTACAGCAATCAAACGAGGTTTATGCAATGAATTGGTGATTTATGGGTGTGAGAATGGTACTTTCGGATGTCTAATATCAGGTGAAGTGATATGAGGTGTTGAATATGAGCCATGGAGGTGGGGAGAGTGGAAGAGTGCATGAAAAATCATTGCATGCAAAGAGAAAATCTGGTACAAGTGCCGACGAATTCTCCCGAGCAGTTGCAAAGATAGCTGTTGCACAAGTATGCGAGAGTACTGGATTTCAGAGTTTCCAGCAGTCTGCTCTTGAAGTGTTATCTGACGTCACTGTCCAGTATATACACAATCTAGGAAAGCTTGCACAATCCTACGCTAATTTAGCATGTAGAACAGGTAGTAACACATTTGATATTATTCAAGGATTGGAAGAATTGGGTTCTCCACAAGGGTTTACTGGCGCTTCTGATAATGATCGTTGTATTGCTAGTTCAGGTGTGGTTAAGGAACTTGTTCAGTATGTTACGATCACAGAGGAAATCCCATTTGCCTATTCTATTCCTCCTTTCCCAGTTGTTAGAGAAAGGAAGCCAGCTCCAAGTTTTTTGCAAATTGGTGAGGGGTCTCCTGAGGAGCACATTCCAGCTTGGCTACCTGCATTTCCTGATCCTCAGACTTACCTCCAGTTGTCCACTGGGAACAAAGGGGCTTCTGATTCTAACACACAAAACATTGAGTTGGTAAGACCGCTGGCAAGGACAGATAGGTCTGTATTGAACTTGCAGCAACATTTGCCTTGTAATGGGTCTGGAGGACCTTTTGCTGTTGCTCCTGTTGGAGGTTCTGAGGCAAAACTTGCCATTGAAGGTAACCCATTTCTTGCTGCACCTTTACAGTTTGGACAGAAGGAAGTGTCCCACGTTATTCCTCCAGCTAAGCTCTCAAATGAAGCTACTGAGAGAAATCCTATTGGGCAAAGTCTTCTACATAACCATGTGTCAGTGCTGGATACATTTGCTCCATCCATTGAAGCAATGAAGAGCAGGTTATGTGATTCTGATGAGGGCCAGAAGAAGGTTCTTTTGAGTCAAAGACCTGCCGTACAATTTAAGATTGGGGTTGGAAAGAAGTCCACAGAATTAAGTTCACACTGTAAGGGTTTTGCCAAGGTTAGCCCATTGTCTGGAAAGGATATTGAGAAGGATGACAAGAAAAGGAGAGCTGAGATAATTCTAAAGCAACCTACAGAGAACCCAGAGGAACTGACACAGTTGTAAATTAGGTTCCGTTAGAATCTCTATACTTGGTTAGGAAACTAGCAGCAGAAGCTGGTTCCGAGTTGTTAAAGTCAGGGCTTGTGGTTGCCAGCATATGGCTGTAGATAAGGGGAACTGTTCCCACTTTAACAAGTTTTGAAGGTATGTGCATGTCAGTTTGTCAACATATATCCTTGTTAGTGAATGATTCTTTTTAGTGGAAATTCTTGTTTCTTCTTTCTCCATTTCTGCTCACACTGAACTTTGCTCAACATCCAGAAAACAAAAACGCATGGAATGAATTGTTTTCAACATAATTGAATTTTGAATCATTATATCGTGTTATTTTAGCTAACATTTTTATTAAAGAGTTAGCTGCTTTTCAGAAGCATTTTCTTTATGTTCTGGAGTGGAACTAAGGCTGAAAAATGAATGGCTTGCGTTTTGAACTTTCATAATTGCATTGTTGATTAGAATATTGTATGGGAAACCAAAGTTTGAATATGCATCTTATCTGTTGCATCGGGGTTTATGGTCAACATGTTATAGAACCACTTTAGGCTTTTAAGCTTTCATTTTTTGCTTTTATTTCATGGTGGAAGTCCAAAATTTGCTACCACTTACTATCATGTGCAGATGAAAGATGCAGAGTTCTATAAGGTAGGCTTTACTTTTTCTTGCCATTATCATGTCACTAAACATAGTGAATTTAAGTAAAATTTGAATAAAGTTATTTTGTAACTAATGTAAAGTTGTTTCAAATCAGAAATGATAATAGTGAGTGCTCTATGACTGTGACTGGGAATTAATGCATTTGAAAGGCCATTTGTTTCCACAATCTAATAAATAATAATAAAAAAAAAGCTCTAGGACTCCAAGTCTTTACAATTATCTACCTTTTTTGTCCAATGTTTTTGCACATTTCTAGCAGTCAACTTTTTGAGAAGATATGCATTCACTAGTGCCTTGCAGGTTTATGCTTATTTCCAACCCCGTAATATCTTCTTTATTATGGCTGAGCTTTTGCCCCTCTTTTTAGATTTTTCACGTGCATTTATTATCATGACAGTTTAGTAAAATTACCAAATATTGTCTTAAGAAGAAAACTTCAAGTGGATAAAACATTTAGGACTGGGGTTCCGTTTGTTCTACAGAAGATTTTTTTCTCCAGCAACATATTTTCCAATGTTTGGAATACTTAAAAATAATTGGTTAATGCTTTATTCGGCATTTTCTTTTGTAGGTCAAAAGGGTAAACTGAGTTATATTCCAATTGGGAAGTCAGTTTCTGAATTTTTGACGAACTTGTAAATTAGAAGAGAACCATGTTGGCTTATATTCACTATTGTGTTATCATCTATGGTCATCCTCTTTTGGTGTAATTTTCTCTTCAATTCAACCATAAATAGAAAAATGTAAAATTCATTTCATTTTATTATTCGCAGATAAAATAAGTTCAAACTAAATCTCTGTATTGCAATTAAACAACAAAAATCAAAATTTTCTCAAAAATATTTTCCAAGTTATTTTATTTATTTGCTTTGAATTTTTTTCCTGTAGTCCACTGTTTGCGTGCAATAAATTAGATACATTGTTTTCTTTCTTGTTTGTGATTGCATTTTCTTTTTATAAAGGGAGATCTGGTGCTTGAAGCATTCCAAAAATGTGGGCTTTGGGAAGGGTTGATATACAAAGATTTCCCCTTATTTCTTTTTGTAGGGAGGCTTTACCATTGCTTGAACGCATGACCTCTAGGTCACAAGTGGAGTAACTTTACCGTTACACCAAAGCCACCCTCTTGTGGCATTTTCTTTTTATATTCAAATAATTTTAATACATTGAGTTTACAGCACATTTTTCTCTGAACATTCTGGGTTTTGAAATTTAACTTGGCTAAAGGTAGTTTCATTAGAATGCATTTCAATCTTAAGAATGCATTTAATTTTGGTCTTTTGCCAGTATGTATCTAACAATGACCTGTAACTGGGGGATTTGTCTGTAGGGTAGTCTCTGTTCTATTGTTCTTAAGATCCTATAGTTCAGAAGGTGTTTGGCAACTAGATGGTTGGAAGATGCCGTTTTGCCTTTGAGGAGGTCATATTAATTTTGTTTGCCTAGTGTTCCTTTATAATTTTTCTCTATCCAGGGTCCTCTTGGGATGACAGAGTGGAGGACATTTATTGATTTCCTTTAGTTCAAAGTAGGGGATAATAAGTGAGGTTATATGGTCCATAGAGATTTATTTTGTAAGTCGAGAATTGAGATCTAGAATAGGTCTGGACAATGTAATTTAGTGTTCAGAAACATTCTCTTGATCAAGAAATGTGATGCAGTTCCCTTAAACCAAATCCTTCTTGGTATTCGATGATTAGCTGTAAGGATGTCTTACATGAAAAAAATTGTCCATTGCAAAGGCTAGATTAAATGCTAGAGATGGAAGCCCTAGGAAATTTTACTCTTTTCTTACAAACTTTTTCCTTCAGTGAAATAAGGCTAGCAATTAGACCATGTTTTCATTTTCTGAGAAGACTTGTGGTTGGAGAATTTGCCATTTTCTGTATCCTTTGCTTGCCTTGTAGTCTTTATAGCTTTCATAATGCCTCCACTAGCGATTTCTACACTTTGGCTGGGATATTGTTTCTGGGAATTTCTATATTTAGATGCTAAGAATAAGAGAGAGCGATGGCTTCCCCCTATTTAATATTTTTTAATATTTCAATTTTCTATGGGGTCAGAGGGGAGGAGTTGGACTTTCTTATAGCCAATAGTAGATGAAAGGCTAAATTGTCCTCTAAAGTTTAGGACTTTTGTTGGTCTTCATGTCTAATAGGATTAACACTAACAATCTATTGCAAGTGACGAGCACACTGAAGTCATTATTAGTGTATCACTATCTCTCTCTCTCTTTCTCTTCCGTTTTACATGGGTTACTTGAAGTGGAGTTTTTGGTATATTTGGTGAAAGTAGAATTTGCAAGAAACTTTGAAGAATATTGCAAATTTGCTTTAAGTGTTTGCAGGGCTCTGCAATGTTGCTATCTTTGATCGATCGCAAGGAATAGCAGATTTTTGCTGGATGAGTATGTGCTTCTGCAGTTACTCGGGCTTTTCAGCCTCCTTATGGTGTTTAATTTCTAGAAATTTTAGAAGAGCTCATTTAGCTGGTATCTGATGGGATTGCATAGTCTTTCCAATCATTAATATTTGTTTTTAGGAGAATGTCTTATTGTCTTTATTTAGTATGTACTTCCTCTCTTTCTTTTTTTGACTGATAAAATTCTATCTCTTGTATGCATAATTTGATAAAAGCATTAAAACCAGCAGTCCTTACTGAGTGGTTTGACTGTCTATTGTAAATATCAACTTAAAGAACTATATTCATTCTGCTAGCTGGTACATGGTGAATGACAGTTGAACTTGGAACATTTTGGGAATGGTTTTGATTAGGCAGGGTCATTGCCTAGCAAAATACCATGGGTCCATGACAGACAATCACCTGCAGGTCTTGACAAAGCAACCAGCATGGAAACAGAATCAGGGCTGCAGGGAACATTGTTATAGATGCTCTATTAAGCATTGGTGAAAATATTCACGCACATTTGCGTTATTTTTGTTCTCATTTGCATTTGAACTTGTGTCAGGGTGTGATTTATAGTAATTTGGAGTTGTTGCTTAGTGATATAATTTTCACGGCGCCATGTACTTTTAGTGATTGATAATAGGACCTTCTCTCTTTCTTTCTGTCTACAAGTCATAGCGTTTTTATAGGACAGTACACAGGGTTAATCCTTTTTGGGCACTTTTTCTTATAGAGTTGACATTCTACTTTTTTTTCTTTTTTTTGGCCATGTGCTGCCTCCGCTTGCATGTCTTATTCTTTATTCTTTATTTTATTATTTTATTTCTTGCTAAAAAAGGTGGTGGAAAAGAAGCAAAATGTTTATGATGTTTAAACCAGATATCATTCCATTTAACAGATATTAACAAGTCAATGCTCCTTAAACGTTACCACATGAAAAATTACTATTCTGTTGAAGAATGATCCTTCTCTTCTTAGATGCTAGAAGCTAAGCATATTTAACAAATCTGTGGTCTAAAATTATGAGATGTGGAGCATTTATGCTCCATGGATCTGGGCATCTATGAATGCTAGTCTGTAACACAACAATACAAGGAATGTCATTAGTATAATCAAGTCGTGCATCACAAAAAATGTTTCTGTTGTTGTTCTGATTCTTTAAAGGTAGGTGTTAGTACCTCTGTTAGATATTGCTCGGTTGCATATTTACTGACTGCTCGTCATGAAAATTGAATATATTTAAGATTGTGCATGTTAGATAGCTAAATGTAACATAGCTAAAGGTAAGGATACTTATTATGTATTCATTGTAATTTGAAATTTTTGTTATTTCTTTAACATACACATGCTAGACCTAATTTTTACTCAATAGCTTATTTTGATTTGCATCCATTATGTAAATGATAAAATTAAATAATCCCCAAATTTGAACACCGGAAGAGGGAGAGACTGAATAATTGTGTTGAAATAGTTCCATGGAAAGTGCTACTTGGAAAGCTGTTGCCTGCAGTGCCCGCCTGATTGCACTGTCAGAGCAAGTGCCTCACCATTCACAACCTCACTTATTAAGTCTTTAAAAATCAATCGCTCAATATCCAGAACCAGCCCTGGAATTTCGCTACTACAAGTTGTCCAATATGTTGAGTGCTGCATCAAATCTGCCTGTAAGATGCTTCTCAAACTGTCATTCTCATCATCTAAACTGCAATTTGAGGCATCAACTTGCATTCTGTCTACCTTTGAGCATAATTCCCCTAAAAGTTGCTGTCCTCTTGGTCTTTTCCCTTCTGGTATATTTGGTAAGAGAGGATACTTGTAAGAACTTTCCAGAAGTAATTTTTGGGTTAGAATTTCATTCACAACATCAAATAAAAGTTTTCTTTGGATTTTGATATGATATTCTGACTGGGCAGTCTTCATACCACTCTCCTCATCATTTGAATACCTTGTGCTTGCCTTGGCTTGTTCTAGAGCGAGAAATACATTGGGGTTGATTGGGTAGCCTGCTTGATGGCGGTGTACAATTGTAAAAGTAGATTCAAAATCCTTCAGGATACCTGATGCTAATAGGATATCTGAAACGTATTTATGGTCTGGGTTTTTGCTATCGTAAAGGGGTGTAATTCCATCAGTGAAGGGTTCCTCATGAATAGATAACAGCTTTCTGAGATTCTGAACTAAGAAATGGATGTTTTCCACTTTCTTATGATTGATCATAGAGTTGAGACTGGAGTTGTTGCTGCAAGAGTGATTTGCTTCCTCAAGACTCCACACAACTTCATCTTCTGCAACAAGACAATTGAATGAGAACTAAAAAATAATGCATATTGTTGTAGACATAACCGTAAGAACTCTCTCTCTCTCTCTCTCTCTCTCTCTCTCTCTCTCTCTGTGTCTCTCCCTCTCTTAGACTTGCTCGTGTATAATTTCTAGTAGTCATTTATAGATATGATCTGTACTTTTCTACCATATATTGCCTTTGTGTTTCTTATATTTCACCAGAGTATGTATCGTAACTGTTTAAATCTCCAGTGTACTTCTGTTATCCCTAACTAAAGGAGTTTGATTAATTATATTATCTGGAAAGTGATAATGTAAAACTTCGTCCGTTCACAAACAACTAAAAGGTGGAACTTGGTTTCTCACCTTTGAAGGCAATTGATTTCTTCTTAATGGGAGATGGCAAGTCGTCAACATAGAATGTTGCATCAAGAACAGACACTGGACTTGGTTGTTCTGAGGGAGCTGCTACCGGTTCTGCAGTTGATCTTGCTACTGGTTTCTGTATGAGAGAAAATGAATCTGTCAAGCAGACAGTATAAATGTTAAACAGAAGAACAAGGGGAAGGAGACGTACTCTTTGTCTCTGCTGAGCTTTCTGGATAAAGCTGATATTTGCCTTATTAGATCTGTCAGTGCTCGAGACTTCTTCATCAACCTGTGACGCCAAGCTAATGGTGCTCTCTGACTGCATAGACAATGCATCCCCTTGGTGGCTCAAATCTCTCACATCGCTACCAATATCACTGGATTCATCATCACTTGGCTGCAAATTGAGAGATTTCGGTCCTGATTTTCTGTGTGGGGATCCTGATTCTATTCGTTGTCTACTGGATTGCCTTCTGTTCCTGATTGATTCTGATGATGGGGTTGTTTGACGAGCTTGCTTCTCCAATCCAAGCTTTTTCGGTTGTCTTAGGTTCAAGGTTCCCGAGCTCTTAACAGAGTTGGTATTCTCTCTAGCACTGGACTGAGGCTCCTTTGAAGGTTGAAACTGTCCTGTCAATCTTGCAACAGTATTTTTGTCAGTTGTACGGGAGGATGGACTAGATCGATCCTTAAGATGATTGGCTCTAGGAGTTAGATCTTTAGCAGTTCTGCCATCTGCAAAGTCAGCAGTCTGGGGTTCATGAAGAACTGAAAAACTCTCAACTGGGTTTACTGAAGAAGAAGGATTACTGGCTTTTTGGATGAGTTTGGCTGGTTTCATAATCACAATTGGGGATTTAAAACTTTTTGGGGAATCAGTCCGCCTGGTAAGGGTAGTGGGGCTGTTACTCTGGAGATTGCATTGACTGGATGACTTTGAGTTCTGATGAATACTGCTTTTACTAGTAGGCTCAGTTTCTAACCTTGCAGCTTTGGTCTCTAATATCTCCTTGGTCTTCTGCATTGCTTCAAGTATTTGTTTAAGAGCTCTAAGATCCTTACCAGATCTTTTGAACTCAAGCTGTGCCAATCTTTTCTGTATTTCACCATAAACAGTGAGAGAGGTGTCCGGTGCTTTTGGTATATTTGTCCGATTCTTCAAAGCTGGTGTCTGAGAATTTCTGTTTCCATCTAGTTGCTTCCATGGTGCTGTTTCTATTGGAATCTTTGAGTTTGGGATAGGCTTCTTGACTGAATGAACATTTCTCACCCGGGGTGAGGTAGGTTCCTTGTGAAGATTTCTTGGTGAGCCTGGAATTGTGTTTTGCTTGTTCTCATCAGTAGTTCTTGATAATCCAAGGGAAGTATTCTTTTCTACACCTGGATGTGCTTTGATCTCTCTTGCCATATTCCCATCGGTTGACATGGAATTGGGGAGAGCTTCCAATCCCATCAACTTGGCTACAACATTAGACAGTCGTGTACGGCTTTCAGGTTCTTCGTCTTGGTTTGAGAAATTGTTCAATTTACCATCTGCTCTCTCCAAATTTCCTAAAAGATCATTTGATTTCATTTCAATAGTGGAACCCCTTACTGGTACTGCTCTGCTGTCCAATGATAGCCTTGGGAGCTCCTTGAGCTTTATGGTGGATTTCAATGCATCTCTTGTTTCCCTTCCATCACAAGAGAACCGTCGAGCATCCTTCAATGTCGAAGTCTTCCCTCCACTCAATTTAGGAGGTGCTTCACGAAGCTTATGAAGAACTTGGAATGGTTCCTTTGAACCTGAAACTTTAGGGTTTACAGATTCAGGATGCTGGAAAGGTCTTGGAGAATCAAAATACTTCAAGGTTAGGCCCCCAGTTTCACCTTTGTTTGCAGTTTTAACTGATAAGCCACGGGCTTCTCTGTAAATGGAGTCTTTGACAACATCTCTGAGATCAGGGGATTGCTGGCTTGACCGGAAAGAAGCATTTGGTTGGTATACGGGCGAGTCTCGAGCATGAACATCAGGAACAATGGTTTGATTGAAAGAACATGGTTCGAGCTGTGGAACATTATTGCATTCTAAAGATGAAAGACTAGAAGAACATGCAGAGGAAAACGAGGTTCTTGATGATTCAGTGGAGACTCTCTGTTTCTCTTTGATGGCCTTCTTTTGATTTTTTTCCTGAAACAATTTTTAAGTTAAATATTTTTGTTAAATATATATACATATATTAAACAATTGATCAAGGTTCTCAGTGCTTGCTTACTGTGGTGTTTTGGGCTGCATTCTTCTGTTCTTTACTGTCGTTGCCACTTTGTCCTGGAGAAAAGCTAAAATTGTTAGATGTAACAAGCTTGGAATACAAAACAGGGTAAGCCAAAACAACAACAACAACAATAATTATAATCATAAAAATGCAGAAATATTAAAACTATAAGATTCTTGAAAAAAGAAAATGGTGCTGAAAAGTATATTCCCCAATTCAAAGGCAGTTTTAAAGAAGCCTATACTTAATGATTTTAGCTGTAGCCCCACAAAATGATAGAAGCTTAATTATTGTGATAAAAATTGAATTATAAGAAAATGGGATTAAGAGCTTCTAATTCTTGGCTATGAGGCTAATTAAAAGTCTATAAGGCTGTTGATTAAAATGCTAAATTTAGTATTTGATGGAGATGCCCAGTTTCACTGACCAACAAAATTTGGAAATTTTACAAGCTGCAAATAAATAAATAAATAATAATAATAATAATTAAAAAAGAAGCCTATAAGAAGAAACTATAACTGAAAAAGTACTATTGCAAGAAAATTAAACTATGTAACTACTCATTTATAAGTATGCATATTACTGATTATACAGAAGGTAACTTGCATTGAAAATAAACTGGAAGACTATATACCTGATGATGGAAGACTCTTGCGGTTCTGGCCAATTGCACGGCGGCCACCGCCAAGAAAATGGTGGCGGTCAAACAGTTGAAGAATACCATTCATACATCCAATCTGCTTCTGCAGATCTGGATTTTCATCTGGTAAATTATGAATGAATTTTGCTGGCATCTTCTCCTATCTTCAACTGATGAAACCCAAAAAATTTCTGAAGAAACTTATTTAATATCCAATTCTAAGTCTCTCTCTTAATAAGTTAACATTCCTCGAATTTCGAAATGCAGAACACACAAATTCTGCATTGAGCGTTAAATGTACTACTGACAAATATGAACTGTTTCTATTGGTTTCTCTCTAAGACAAGATTATAGTTGGTTTTTTCTTATTCTGGGTTTGAAGAACTTCTTTAATAGTAGCAGAAGAGAATGTAAAAGACAAGATTTAAAGATTAAAGGAAAGAAACAAAGAACCACTCATCATTACTCTACAAATGTGTAAGATAATTGTTTCTTGGGTTTCACAGAACAAGGCAAAACAATATCTTCTGCCAAAAACCAAAAGGAAAGAACAGAACAATAGATAAAACTTCTCTAAAAACAAAGAAAAGAAAATATGGGAATTAAGGGACCCAACAGCCTAACAGTTACACATTCATGCACTTAGCCCCACATTCTAAGGACTATGAAAATGAAAATGCTGCAGAGAAAGAGAAGTTCTTCTGCAGACCCAAGAAGAGATGTTTTTTTGGGTTTCCTCGCATAACAAAAACAATACTGTCTTTTGGCTCTCTCTTGGAAATAAAAAGGGCAGCTACAATAGGCTAACAGAGCTTTTATACTATTCTTTATTATGAAAATTGCTTATAATATATATAAGAAAATCTGTTTTGAAGAGAACGAGAAAATGGTGCCTTAGTGCAAAAACCTTTTTCTTCATTGCTGTATTTACGTGTGAGGGATAAGAGCAAGAGAGAGAGAGAGAGAGAGGGGGATTTTATTAGAGTTTAAACCAAACATAAATAAATATATAATGGTATTAATCAGTAAATAACTTAAAATAATAATAGATAAGATATAGCAGGAGAGAAGAGAATAGGGTGTATGGTGAATGTGTGGGTCAGATCTGCTATGTTCATTTTTTTTCTTCCACTGTCATGTGGACAAAATAATGGTGGGGATAGGACTCTCTGGACCTCTCTACATGAGCATGTGGAGTCTGTCAGTGAGTGGAAGAAGAAAGTATAACAAAGTGGATTTATGGACTGGAAAAAAAAGCCTCCATTCTTCAATCTCCAATGCTCTTTTTTCAACAATTCTTTCTTTATTTTAATAATCCCTAAACTTTGCTAAATTTTTTTCATTTTTTTATTTGTCCCCCAAGTGGATTCCTAGGTCTTGCCTCTCATTACTTCTTACCTTTGACCTGACTATAAGCAAGAATATAATAATCTACTTATTATTATTATTATTATTATTAATGGAAATTACATGTAAGAAATGGTTTAAGCAGTGAAATACACTTAAATATTCGGTTAATAAATTTTTATATTTGGTCAAGAATTTAATCTCTCACGTCCAAAAAATAGTGTAAGATATTCATGGGAAATATAAAAAATTAATCTTATATGTAAAAAAGTAATCTTTTCTATTGATGAAAATTTTTAAAAACAAATAATGGGTTTTACTGAAATTCAAATATTTATTACTGTTTCTATGTTTGTTTATTTTAACTTAGATTATGCTACTCCCTAGTGTTTTTTTTCTTTCACCGCCTAAGCATGCCAATCAGCTTGCAAATTGGTAGCATCTCAATGTATGATACACCTTTTTTATAGCACAAGTTAGGTCACTAAGAAGACTCATTATCCTTGGAATTTGTTTTTAAAATTAGGGTATTGTCCAAAAAGCAATACAATCTCCAAGTTTCAAAAAACACATTTAAAGTCTATATATATATAATTTCAATTGACCCTAAAATTTTTATTTTCATTTGCAATAAAGATTGAATTAGTCTTCAAGATTAGGGTTTTATCTAATTAATCACAAAAAAAGTTTCAGTTCCAATTAATCACAAAAAAGTTATATTGTATCAAAAATAAAAAGGAAAAGAAGCTTGAATGTCCATTATTTTGCTTTTAGTACTTTCTCAAATTTATGCTATCAAGATAAACTACCTTTGCAAGGGATTTTTGGCTATATGTGCCCTAAATTTATGCATGTAATGTAAAAAGAAGAAATGTGGTCCAGAAGATATATTACTAGTTGCTAGATTTTAAGGTAAGACACTAGTAGTACTTTTAACCTTAAGTGTTTGTCTGTTCGAGCTTCAAAAAAAAAAAAAAAAAAAAGTTTATATTGTATCAAAAATTAAAAAGGAAAAGAAAGCTGAATGCTCCATTAATTTGCCTTTTGAGTACTTCTCAAATTTTATGCTATCGAAGATAAGACGTTCAAGGGATTTTTTGGCTATATGTGCCTAAATTTATGCATGTAATTGTAAAAAGAAGAAATGTGGTCCAGAAGATATATTACTAGTTGGCTTAGATTTAAGGTTAGACACTAGTTATTACTTTTAACCTTAAGGTTTATGTTCTGTTCGAGCTTCAAAAACAAAAAAAAAAATACAGGAAAATTTAAAAAAAAAAAAAAAAAATACAGAAACACAGATATCATTTTGGCCTGTTATTACAGTAACATAGGACTATGTACTGATGTTTGATCGGGCTCCTCTCCTACAGTTTCTCATTGGGTACTTCAACATGTTATTTAGGTAAATGAGTATTTCAATGTTGTATTTTTTGGCTTTCTCTCTGTTTCCTTATGCATTTACACATTTCTATCAACCTTAGCTTGTGACAGAAAAATATGACATTTTATGGGAGATCAGAAGATATACATAGAGACCATGTAAGACCATGCCAGAAGACATCAATTCAAAATATATTTTTTCTTTTCTTTTTTCAGTTTATATATTCTTTTAATTTCATTATGAAAGAATTTTAAAAATGGGTGTATTTAGGTTAAAGGATAATGTTGAAATGAATTAACAACGATATATTATAAGTATTTGGCAATTATAACTATTATTAGATATATTAAAAATAACTAATTAACAATGTGCTCCTGTTCGTAAATATATATATTAATAATAGAGGATGCTAAAAGAAAAAGAGATATAGCTAAAACCACATGAAATGAATTTTGTCTCCTAAGATCTATTACTTATTGATATTAGCGTAAATATAGTTATAAATGGATTAACATAGTCGAAAATAAGGTTTGTTATCTTAATCTTAATGTAAAGTATGAAATAATGTTAAAATTGGTATAGTTAAACAATTTCCTGATTGGAGTAAAAAAAAAAAAAATGCATATAGTATATTGCATTTGGTGTTCCATGTTTTTGGATCGTCTTAGAACTAACTAGAAGTACTTAATTAGGACATCCTTTCAAAAAAAAAAAAAAGTAATAATTTAGGACATGATTTCAGAATTAAGGCACAATCAGTTGCAGTTAATTGTCGGAACACAAATCTTAAACTAGGAAGCTTCTTCTTTTTTTTTTCTTTTTCCTTTTTCTTCCACCAGAGTACTATATTCATTGGAAGATCCTGTAGATTTTATTCATCAGAATATGACAGAATCTGCTCTGTATGATGTCAATCCTTCCTGTCAAATCTACCAATCGAAAAACAAAGGATGATTAACCATTTTACACTTCAGAATTTCTATTTACAGAATTAGATTGGACTTATTGGAGAAGCTTGATAACCCAGTTTAGATGTTTGGTTATATTAAATTTTTCTCGGATTTTAACGATAAAAGAAAAATTTTACTGATAAAAGAAAAAACACTTTAGAGTTTCTGTTTATTCATTTTATTGATAATTTTTACATTTACCATTGATACTTTTGTTTGTTGCATGAAAAATAATGAGGAGAATCTCTCTAGTTATTATTTTAAATAATTTTAATAATTATATTCTGTGTATTATTATGCAAATATAAAAATATGAAAATAATTTATTGATGAAGGTACCTTTTGTTTATACTTTCACTTCAATAATTAGTTGCCCCTACCAAAAATCCATTCTACTTATACAGCTTTGGCAGGAAGTGCACATGGACCAACTATTCAAGAATTAAATTTTGTAAAGACAACTATTTTGCACAAAGCAAGAATTGTTTCCAAGATTGTGAAACTGTGTAATGAGAGATACACATTATCCTTAAATGATGTAAACTAAAATCATTTAGTTAGATTATTTTCACCTAATTAAGGCAGCTAGCTTCACCATCCACATGTCTATTTTACACCAACAAAAATTAATTACCCATCCTTTTTTTTTCCTGAAAAGAAAAAAAGATTAATTTCCTTATTTATATGCATTAATTATTTTTAATAAAATTCTAAAATATTCAGTGATGTATCATTTATATTAATGTTTAAAGTTTGAGTGAGCGTAATATCAGACGGTACTCTCTTTTAATGTTTTACGAAATATTAATAAAATATTTAACAACTATTAACATAACTAACCGCTATTAAAATAATTAATTTTACTCGATAAAATATAATATAAGATTTTTAATAAGAAGAAAATGTAGTCCTCCTAAGTATGTAGGAAATTACATTATTCTTGTCAATATTAACTAATTTTAACTGCCAAGTTAAAAAAAAAAAAAAAAGAATATGTTTTATTTTGGGGTCCTTTAAATATATAGAACTTCTGTCTTCGTTTTCCTGAAGTAATCACTATGTGCCAAATATGCATTTATTATTTTTGTCCATTTTTATGAATCCAAAGATTTTAATTAATTGATCGTATTCCTTCCTTTAGGGATACAAGTCTTCTAAAAGTTATTGTATATTATTCTTTGGATAGTTATACGTTTGAGGTCTAAATTTTTTCAATTTTGATATAATTTCATCATTTGAATTTTTATTTATCGAATTTAATTTTCAATCCAATAGACAATATTATTCTCTAATTAGACATATTTGGTTAAATTGTTTGTAAAAACGTTAAAATACTTCATCTGTTTCATTTTGTTTGCATGATTATAAAGATTATTATGGAAAAAATAATTATTTATATATCTAAATTTAGAAACCTTATAAACATTTTGAAACATCTAAAAAAAAATAATAAACAAACAAAATAGAACGGAAGGAGTATATATTTTTATTCTAATAAGCAGTCTCACCTTGTGTCTAGACTCATTTATCTTTTTGTTTTTTCAGTCAAAACTCCAATTAATTCTTTTATTGTATCTTCGAATATTGAAAGGAAAGGTTTGAAATTTGAACTCAAATTTATTTATTTATTTTTAGTTTTACTTGAGATTTATAATTATACTAGTTGAATAAGCTTTAAGCCTTAAAAAAAAGACAAAAACATTAAATCAACAACTGAGTATATATATAGCTGTTTCAGCATTATTTGAACAATGTATTTTATTATTTTAATAAAATATAAATGACAATTTTGCAATGCCACTTGGCTTCCATGATCATTGTAATTATTATATTTGATATGGGGAGCATGTCACGTGCTTCGTTTAACAATTCGTTGTCAAAGTAAGGATGCTTTTAGTTGATTTTTATATGCCAATCCTCAAAAAGCTAATATATATATTAGCTAATTAGCTTATATGCAAATTATTTTAAATTAATAGTTTATTGGTTGAGCATGATATAGAAGTGCAGCGGGTCGAAATAACATATGATCTACGTAATAAGAAGTAGTTCTCTCCTTCTTATTAAATTCGTGAAAACTCTTGTGATCAAAAGAATTCGAGTTCAAATTTGAAATCTCTTATTCCTCGCATCAGTTAAAACACCAATTAAATTACACTCAGTTGGCAGAAATATAAAATTTAAATGATAATATTTCTATAATTTCTATATCTTTTATGTAATATAAAAATATTTATTCATAAGTAATATAAAAATGGAATTTCTTCAGTATATCCAAAGAAGAGAATGAGATGATTGGGATTCTTCTTTCATATTTATTTAATTATTTAAAAGATGAAGGAATATGTGATGCGAGTAGGAGAATTAGGTGTAATCCTATAGTTTCTGCAATGACAGGGTTGCCTGTGTGTGGAATGAAAAGCCTCCTTGAACTCAATATTATAAAGAAAGAACAAAGTATTAGTAAAATAAATTAAGATGAGCAGACCATTTCTTCCTAATAATGCAACTGAGATTCGCCCACAATAGAGAGATAGTCCCCATTTGCAAACCTATTGCCGCCCTTTTAGATAGCTCTAAATCATGACCATTGCATTTTCTTTTTTCAAAAAAATATGACAACTTGTATTGCCGGTGAAATTTGACTTTCAACCTTACGTCTAATTAGAAATTTATACACATGCATCGTTTGTTTTTTTTTTTTGGTCTTTATATCGTGTTAATCGGAGCAGTAAATGGCATCAATCTCGATTTCAAACAGTTAATTAAACGCTATTAAAACAGTTAATAGCTATCAAAATATATAATGTTGCGGAATAAATTTTTAGTTGTCTCATACACCTAATAATTCTCATATGTCTTATATTTCATGGCTTGATTCCTTAAAGCTATTTTTGATCGAGTATTACCACCACGTCGTGATGGGTTGAAAAGGTTTGAAGTCTGAACCTCCCCATCTCCCCGCTCTAAAAGGAACCATGATTGATATTTACTTATATATAGTAGCAATGGAAATGATAGATTCCTATTTGAGAATGGACATATACCAAAGACTTAAATTTATAAATTTCTTTGAAATTTCAATCAAATTAATACAAAATTTTTGGAAACTTTAAATCAACGAGTATATAAATTAGTTTAATAAAAAAAATATAAAAATTAACGTATTTCATATTTGTGTCATATCATATATTCCGTGTTCTATATCCGCGTCTGTGAAACGTAGTAGAAAATTCATGATTCTTTCACATTTTGAAAGCAAGTTAATTATTTCATACACCAACCATGTAATTTGGAAGAAGTTTATGTTCTTTTTCCTCTGTTTTATATGTATATATAAGCCTTGACACATGGATTTGAGATGAGAGTACAAGTGATTGTGATAGTTAAATTGGAAGGAAGAGAAAAAGGGGGGTGCAAAACCACATGCATAAAGTGAAAGTATCACATGACATGAGGGATGCCTCCTTAGCTTCAATGGGCAGGGACCAGCCAAGCCATCTCAATCATCCAAAACTAAGCTCCAAGAAACTAAGCATTAACTACACTTTGCTCACCATGATTGCCACATGATGTCCCTCACTTATCCCCAAACCACCATTTCAATATTATAGTAAGTCAACAATAAGGGATAACATTCATACCCCACAAGTTTTTTTTGCCTATAATCAGAGAAACCAATAAATCAACCATGCAACCAAGTGGATGACAGTTGCAAATTAATGTATGATATTTGATTCTTGATCACTAGTTACATATATTTGATAATTAAAAAATTAGGGCATGTTAAACAATATTAGTTATTTTAGTAACTCTTAATTATTATAGTAGTTATTAGTTATTTTATCAGCTGTTAGCTTTTAGTTTATAGTTGTTTATATAGTGGTTTAAATTAAAGTATTCAATAAAAATAGTTGTTTAATTAGCTATTTAATTAATTAAATTCAAAAGAAAAAATAATGAGTATGATTGTCAAAAAATTTAATTAAAAGCTAAATCTTATAGTGTTTAACGTTTTCTAAAAACTCCACTCAATTTGTAAAAGCTATTTAAAAATTATACCGAACGCTACAACTACTAATAGAGAGAATATTTTGATTTGGTCAAAACACTAAGCTAACTCAAAAATTATCACCGAATATAGTCTTAGAGTAACATTTTAAATTGCAATTGTTATTAATTCATAATTACAACTAAATTACTAAAAGTAAAATTTAAAATTATTAAGATGCGAATCACTAATTATGGACAGTTAATCGTTGAACCAAACAATGTGTAAGATAATTACAATTCACACAACCTAAAGGGTAAGTTGCCATTCACATTCCAATGTGTTTCAATCATCTAAAAAAAAACACTCAAAGATATAACCTAATAATTAGCACGTGTATAACCTAGTAATAAATCAAAGTTCGAATCTCCTCTCCTGGTATTCAAAATATCATCTTAAAAAAAAGGTGCTCAAGATTGTGTGACCTTTAAACAAGTAATAGTCTTGTGGGTACATTTAAACAAGTAGTAGTTGTATGTTTAGCAAGAATGATATTCAATGTGGGGCAAAGTCAAGATTCCATCTTATCCCTTTGTTCACATGAGAGAGATTTGAACTATTAATTGCTTTAGGCTATAGTTGCACTCTTTTTTATTTTCCAAATTCATACATAGCTAAACAAGCAACTACTAACAATATGGATTTTGGGTAAGTTTTACTATTTTAAGGAGGAACATGCATGGTAATGAGCCTGCTGCCTTAATTCCCAAGTCTAATGCACAGACTTTGAGGAAAGTGGACCCTACATAGCTGAGGAAATTGCATACTTAAAGCCCTTAATTAATTAATTAATTAAGTTAATAATTTGAGGTCACGCGTCTTAAGAAGCACTTTTGTTGCTATAAAAAATTATTTGATTTTGATTCCGATGAAGTGTACGGTTTATAAAAGAATTAAATAGATTGCCAATCACTAAAAATTCAAAAAACAAACATGCAAATATCAAATGGCCAGTTCATCAGAATCATAACTTATATCCACATTGCACATGACACGAGTTGTGTATACATACATACACAGCTAGTTTCGTGATCGGTTTACTGAATCGATGGTTGGATTGATTTCAATGATTCCAATTCAAATCAGATTGATGGCAATATTTAAAGAGGATGAAACCCATTTTGGAAAACTACTTTGCTAATATGAATAAAGATAGTTCAGTGGCAAAACACACTTGCAGAGTTGATCACCATAAATTCAATCTTTCACAATGCAAAATCAGTCTCTTTGCATTTAAAAGCGAGCCGAAATTAGTCAGGTTTGTAGACACTTCTAATTATTTTTAACTAAAAAATTAAATTCTAACTACAACTTATTAATTATATATGGACTTCAATTTCAATCAAATTCAAAATTGGACAACATAAATCCTCCTACCCTACCCCTCTCTTCTTGAACAAGTTTTTTAACAGAATTTTGGAAGTTTCAAATAATGCAATTCATTTACATTTCCAGATAAATACTCAATAATTGAAGCATAATTTACAATCCTCTATGATGGCATCCAAAATTAATGAAAATAGATAGTTAGGTACTTATGTTTATGGACCCAATAGCTAGTAGTTCAATCCACTATATATAACTCATGATAATCCTTTTCCTTGGTGGGTCTGAACATATTGTTATATGTCGTTATAATTATCATATGTATCTCCGAGAGGCCATACCAATGTTAAGAAGACAACAAATTAGCACCATCCCTTTTGAAATTGGCAACCATAGAATATGATGATTTCTATATTGTCTCTTATTGTATGACATGACACTAACAAACTGTACAATATATATCAAGAGGAATGGGCAAAAAATAAACTGTTAGGAGTCAATACTGAATCTCTGTGCAGAAGAAGAAAAATGTGACTAGGAAGAAAGAAAAGAAGCCATTGAGTTGTTCACCAAATGCTTGTACTCAGCTATTTTGTCAGGTTTTTGGTTATTTGGCCAATGGCTTGAAATTGAAAATATGTGTGCAATGTTTCATTTATTAGTGTCATGTGGCTTATCTGAAAGTGAAAATTGATTGTGTAGAAAAATGGAGCATTCCTTGTGATGTCCATAATTCCTGAATTTGATCAAGATAGACACTTTCAGTTTTATCAGGCTCTGGTTGTTAGCTTCTTGCTTTACTTTTTGTAATATCTTAATTACTTATTGAGGTAAATTGATCTTAATTACGTTTTTTTTTTTTTTTTTACTGTCTTGCTTTATTTTTTCTAGCACATGTGATCTTATCATTTTCAGCTTTGACATGTCAATTATGATTGTTTAGGACATTGCCTTTATATAATGTTTGGTCATTCTATAGGTTTTGATGTTTTGACATCAATATCCAAGACCTTGAAAAAACGTGTTCATTAATCCTCCAAAGGTTTTGTCATGTCAATTTGGTCTTATCAATTTAGTGTATCTTCCAATATTGACATGTCAATTTCATGCCAATTTTCCTCACCCTCCATAAATTTTAACAGTTTAACTCATGTTTGATTGCCTAACAAGAACAAATGAAGTTGGGTCCTCCTATCATTCTTGACATTTTACTTTCAATTGGGTTGCCCTAAGAAAAAAGATAGTGTCCTTTATGTACCATGCGCATGCATTTCCTATCTAATCGGACTAACCTTTTTATGGGTATCAATCGTTTTTATGACTTTTGAGCATGGATGATGCAGCCATATTTTGTATTTATCTTTGGCTTTAGAGCCCGATAAGGGTTCATCCAGGGTGCTTCGTTGTTGGAAAATATTTTACATGTTAAAGACAAAGACAGAGACAGAATGAGTTTCAATAATTTCTGGTGGACCTTTTTTTCTAATACAAAATTCAATTAGCTTTTCCATTCAGTTCTTATTATGATTCAGTTTTGGTTTACAAGAGAACAGGAAATTCTTCAGGTACTGAAAGATATCAGGAATAACTTAATTTTGAGAAACTAGAAATTCTTGAAATTAGTGCCTATATTATGTTTATCTTTTACGATGTTTCAAATTGTACCCTACCAAGGAAAATGACAAATCAGGAATAATCCTGACAGCTTCCTAGAAGCACGCACCATTAACCTGGGTGTGCTCCAACATTGGCAATTGAAATCAGCATCAACAGCAGAAAGAGCAATGCACATGCAATAGCTCCAAAAACATCACATAATTCATCAGAATGTTAAGAATCTTATTCCCAGTGTAATGTCAACATACTAGATGAATCAAATCACTGCTATTATACTTGACAAACAATGAAAAGAAAATCAGATATCTCCCATTCAAAAGCAAAATTCAAATACAATAATATCCATGCAAGCACCACAAAAGACTTGCATGCTTGGAAGTTCTTATAAGGATTGGAATTTGGTTTAGAATGCAATAAGCTCTTTAACATGAATCAGAGAGGTGCTATTATGAAAAATACATGTGATAAAGTTTTCTCTAAATGAATGATATCAAGAACTGATGTCTGCACAATGTCAATCAAATTTTTTCAACTCCAAAAACCGAGTTTAACGTTGATCAGCATATATTTGCAGTAACTAACGAACACTAGTCCTTATGAATGCACCAGAACAGCAATTTGAAGTGTTGATGAACAGCTGTTCCACCCTCCCTCTCTCTCTTCTAGAAAGCTTATGTAAACTTCATAATTAACTAGCAAAACCATATCCAAAATTAAGATTAAGAAAAATTATTTCATGGCTCAGTATGGATACATTGTGTTCATAACCTTCAGGTAGAAGCCCCAAGTTGGACTTCTTTCAGTTATAGGTTTTTGACCAAATGGGTTTTGCTCTACAAACTTTTGTACATTGTCAGCTTCAAGTAATCCTTCCAAATAAACTCTAAGATCACCTCCATCACCTGTCATTAGTTGGATACAATTTTTATTCATTTGCCTCTTCAGGTGATACAAATGCAGTACAACATTCAATAATCTATAGCAACAAAAATGTTTGCAACATTTGTGACATATTACTTAAGTGGATGGAACTCAGGAGCTTAAACATTAGAGAACAGCAGATAGTATCAAAATGTCAATTACCTAAAGCATTATCCTTCAAGTCCTGACCCTGGTATGAATAAGGGAATATTGCAGTATTTACCTGTAACGAAAGATTAACATAATTTTAAAAAATAAAAGTAATTTGCAAAATGTAAGAAATAAATCGGAGCAGCTCATAAGAACGAAAAATAAGGAGAGAAAAAGCTCACAGGATTAAGCAGCGCTTTGTAAGGTGAATCATCTACTAACAATGTATTTGATTCATTATAAAATCCTTTCTCCCAAGGAAGTTCAGGGTCGTGTTTTTCCCAGATCCTCCTTAAGTCCTTGAAAACCAAGGGCTTATGCTTGTTTTCCAGGGTTTTAAATCGTGTCACAGTGCAATGGGATGCATCCTGCAAAACAATAGTGTTTTATTGTGTTATTACCACCTTAAAGGGACTCAATGCACCAAACAATGCAGTTTGATCTTGAAAACAATAGGCAGATGCAAGTAAAGATAATTCTCTTTAATATATCACTTGCTCAAATAACTCCATGGATATATATGAAACTGATATACTTAAACACATATGCTGAACGTTTTAATGCTTCATCTGTTCAATCAGAGAACAACATCATTGCTGAATGCCAATTTACTAGAAGACTAATGGTTAGGCATTAGTTAAAATACAATCATTATTCAGGCATATTACTTGAGAATTAGTTAGGATATTGGCAACAAAGAAGCCAAATGAGGAAGTGCCTTAAAATTCTTTAGTGCTAGCATTATACATACAGATTGTCCAATGGTATGTGCAAACCCTAAGAAAATTTTACTTATAAATGTACTTACCCAACAAAACAGCAGCTTGTGCTTCAAATCTCCCATCAAATAATCAATGACTTTATCAATATTCTTCCTGCACAAATTTAAAATGCCTTGCAGTCAACAACTATATATTGAAATTTGAAACTCCTAGTATTGAAGGTTGAAAGAGGAGTGAAAAATAATCCCAACACCAACAAGAAATAGACAATGAAATTAATAACATAGGTTGAAGATTACTTAGTTCTTGAAGACCAAATGCCCACTTCAAATCTCTCAAAGCAGAACTTTAGGAAGCCAAGACAAAAGGGTCTCCTAAACTTCATGTCTATAAGAACCCCATTCAAATCAAGAATAAGAAGTTTTTTCTTCAAATTTCTAGCTGGTGCTCTTATTGATAAGGAAGCCAAACTTTCTGACAGAGCATTCTCTTTGTCATTAATAGCAAGTGAAGCATGTTTAGTTTCATCCACATCTGATAAAAGAACTGCTTCATCACCTCTTCTATTCAAATCACCACTGCTAGGCAAGCCACCTCCCTCAGCCTCCTTATAAGCTGAATTACATATATCTTTCACATTATATTTTCTTGCGTTTCTTACTCTTGGCTTTCTTTTGTTCCCAATGCTGGCTACTGAAGGACCATTGGCTGTTTCCATGTAATAATTACTAAAACTGGATGTAGAAATTTGAATCTGCTAGCAAGGGAATCTTGTATTTCCCTCGTTGTGAATTACTATCTTGAAACTAGTTGATATTTAACAAGTGAAGATTGTTTTCTACTATTTTCTGATATTCTATGGCCTTGTGTTGCCTTCTCTCAAATGGATTCCTGCAAGTATGGACAAAAGATAAGAAAATCAATTTCAACAGGATTAAGTAAAGCATCCTGCAAGCAAATACAAATACAAATAGAACACATTACAAATCAGGACAGCAATTCAGGCACAAAGCAAAATTACTGAGGAAAACCTGAACCTAAGGCAACAGGAATCTTCTAGCCTAGAAGTTACATAATATAAACCATTTTAAGCAGATCAACCATTGACAATTTTACGTCAAACTTAAGATGTCTAGACATAAAACCCAAGTTGACATGAAAGGCAATGAGAGCACCTCACAATCCTGAATTGGGCCATTGAATGGAATTCCATTTGCATGTTGTAGGGTCTAGGCAATGATAGAACAGGTTTGGATTAAAATTGATAGCAAAGAGGAGGTTTAAAATTGCCGACCCAATAAAACCAATCATAAATCTCCTTTAACACCAGGGTTATGCTCATTTTATAAACACTGTTCAACCTGATCACTCTTCTACTTCCACATTGATGCTTCTATAGATTTATATTGCACATGAGTAAAACCATCTCAAACAACAGTCCTTCAGCTTATCCTCTATGAATACACTCGTTACTGCTCTGCTCCTAAACTGTGGTTTCGACATATCTGCAGCATTCTCATCTTTGAATACACTCATTTCATGCTGCACATGTTATTTGGTTACCGCCCAGAACTCAATCATAAAGCAAATCTATTCGGATCACCATTTTACAGAAAGTTTGAAATGGCATAGTCCTACAATTCTGCATATTAAAAATTCTATCCTTTGCACTCAAGGAAGAAAAGGGGTCAATAAAACGAACTAATATTCATCTAATTTACCACGAGAAAGGAGAAACAGAGTCCAACTTAATTCCTTCAATAAATAAGCTAAAAATAACGAAAACTGATAGCAAAAACAACTAACGAATCGCAAAAGTAATGTTTTGCTAAAAAAAAAAAAAAAAAAAAAAAAAAAAAAATACAGAAAAAAAGTTTAGAAAATGGCATAGTCCTACAATTCTGCAATATTAAACAATTCTATCTTTGCCACTCCAAGGATAGAAAAGGGGTCAATAAAACGAAACTAATATTCATCCTAATTTACCAATCGAGAAAGGAGAAGACAGAGTCAACTTAATCTCCTCATCAATAAATAAGCTAAAAATAACGAAAACTGATCAGCAAAGAACAACTAACGAATCGCAAAAAAGTACTGTTTTGCTAAAAAAAAACAAAAAAAAAAAAAAAAAAAAAAAACAGGTAACTATAAAGCATCTAGGCACCAATTAGCTTATGAAGCTTAACACATACATGAAAGGCCATAATCTGTCTATTCTAATAAGAGAATACCGCCCTAAAAAAAAAAAAAAAAAAAAAAAAAAAAAAACAGGAACTATAAAGCATTAGCACCATTAAGCTTTGAACTTAACACATACATGAAGCCAAATCTTTTCTATTCTAAAAGAGAAACCGCATAAATTCAAATCTAAATAGAAAATAAGAGAAATCCCACAAATACAAAAAAAGAAATAACGTTTATAATCAGAAAAATTCATCAATAGATAAAGAAACAGAATACCATGATTACAATTTGTTCTCACGATAAATTTTTGAAAAAGAAAATTCAAAAAAAAAAAAAAAGAAGAAGAAGAAAAAGAAAACAATATAAAACTGACTTTGAGGTTGAAGAGAGTGTCAGTACCTTCGTCGTGTTGGTGGGTTTCGATATGAAGAGAGATGGAGGAAGACTTGACTTAAAGGAGCATGAACGTGGAGAAACTGAAGAGCCGAAAAAAAGAGCGGAAACAGACGCGCAATTTCGAAGTTCAACTTCTCTTATCTACGGTTTGGTACTTCTGGTCCGGGTCTGTCATACGGCGAGTGAGACAAAAACAAATACGAAACGACAACTAGCTGTGTTTTTCTGTGAACTCGAAATGGCGACGTTTTGTAATAGAAAATATTACGACAAGACCACCGGTTGTACCCTTTTGCAGTCTTGATCAACTAACAATAACAACTTCCAATTTGTCTTTCACATTTTTTTGTTTCTCAAAAAAAAAAAAAAAAAACAAAAATGTACCTGGATTGCTTGTGAGTCCAACACTTGACCATTCCAGTTGGGCTTATTCTCGTAGCCCAGCCCAAAATAATATTCATTAACTTTGTTTTTATTTCCCGGTAGCAATTTTTTTTCCGTCCTTGTGCATGTCAAGGGGAAATTTAAACCAATTGTAATTGAACTTTCTTTTTTTCACTTTTTTGGTTCATTAGGAATTCCAGCGGGCAAAAATGGCAAAAATAACGCGATGGACTATATTGAAAGAATAGCTCTTTTCTTAACCCATCAAGTGAAAACTCTTATATTGCCTGATTAAAAAAAAAAAGATACAATGCATTAAATCTCGTATTTTTCTTAAACCCTCCTTCTTGAGTAAATTCAAACTTAAAATTTATTGATAAAAATCTCAAATACTAACTGGTCAGAGTAATTTTTGAGAACCATAGGCTCAATGAATCGAGCCGGTCAGACCTCCATTTTGCACAAACAACCTTAAATCATTTATGGCAACAACATTTTGTTGGTACCGTACGTAAAATAAAAAATTTTCCATTTAATGTGCACACAAGTGATAGTCCACTTCTTAAGAACCATCACCAATCATCATGACTTCTTGATGGGTATTTTGTGGTCCAAAAATCTTGTTTGGACCACAGATATAGGTTATCAACAAGGTGAGTTGGTAAGGTACATCTTTCACAAAATGGTGTCTTTATAATTGAATTTACAGTTTTAGACAATCAATTGGTTTATTTTAGTTCTTTAATAATTAAATTATTTTTTAAATATGAAATAAACTATAAATTAAAAAAATTAAAATCGATTTATATATGTGCAAAAAAATAAACTAATATTATTGATTGGAATTCCATCATTACTTAAAATGCATATATTAGAAAAATGGTATATTGTTAGACTATTCAAAACAAAAAAAAAAAAAAAAAAATAGAAAAATGGTATATGTTAAGACTATTCAAAAACAAAAAAAAAAAAAAAAAAAAAGAGTGAAATCTAAATCTTTAAGCTATGTTTCCTAGATAAAAAAGTTAGGAAAGCACAAAAAAAAAAAAAAAAAAGAAATTAATCTTTAGCTATGTTTCTAGATAAAAAGTTAGGAACTTTGAAATTGTTATTATTGAGAGAGTTTTATCTAAAATACTATCTCCAGTCCAAATGTGAAAATATGTATACAAATTGAGAAATAATAATAATAATAATTTTAATTGACCTACAAATTAATCTGAAAATAATCTAATTGAATGAATAAAAAAAAATCAATACCCCAAAGAAAAAAGAAAAGCACTATTCTTGCCATGTATTTGGCTTCCTTAAAAACAATGAGAAGAACTGAAAGATGAGTTGAATCATGTGCTCATACCTTTAAAGCAGAATTGACACGTGTAACATTGAACGGGATCACTATAGGATGATGTGTACATCATGTATGCTATAATTACAAGACCATAAGCTCCTTTTACACACTATATATACATATTAAAACAAAATAATTAATATGGAAATAGAAGATATGATTTTGCAATCTATCTAAATATGATATAAGAGAGGAACCACATGCTTTCTTATGATGTCTTGATGCATAATGCTTATTGGAGTAATACAGAAAGTAGTGGTCCTAGTCATAGAGAGGTTGCAATTTGATTTTTTTTTTTAAAAAAAGAGCTTTAATTAATTAATTTTATTAACTAGTATTAGATCATTAAGTTAAGCCTGCAAATGTATAATTATTCTAGCAATGAAACTACAGTTCTACATATTGTTTGAGTGTAAATTTCTTGTTCAAATAAATATTTTTCTATTTATTACGATCAAGTTACTTTCCTAGATTGCTCAAAAAATGCAGTTTTCGCTTCACATCTTTATTTAAGAATTTATAGGTTCAATTGGCAATAGCAAGAATATATATTCTTTTTTATTTGTGCCAGAGAGAAGTCGAATGCAATACATGTCACTTCTCTTTTTTTTTTTTATAAATCGTATGAAGATCAATCAAATCACAATTGTGATAGACCTAATAATTAGATATGGAAATGACAATTTATCAGGTGAGGTGGAACTTAATATATACAATACTGTGGATCACAACTCACAGTCAAAACTCAGAATAGCAATGACTAATTAAAATGTTGGCATGAAAATATCATTAGAGTTATTAAAACATAGTTAGTAGAGAAAGAAAAGGTGCATGCATGAATCAATTAATAGACGCACATAGTTGGGAAGTTGATAGGTAACTCAAACCTTAATTCATGGGAGGCTATTTATAAAAGCAGAAAGACTAGCTTGTAAACCACTACTTTCCACCATCCTCCATTTATGCATTGCTTAAAGAACCCAAAAGACTTCAAAACCATTTAAAGAAATTAAAATTTCCAAATTTCAGCTTTTATAGCAACTCCTGCAGGACTATACAAAGGAAAGTGTTGGGGACCATATGATTTTGAGTCTCTCTGCAATTATGTTATCATCATCCAACTACCAATGCGAGCTTGAAAAGAAAATTCCAACGATGTTTCTTAATTGGTTAGGGTTAGGGTTAGGGTCAGCTTAGCTTCCCTTTTTTTATCTTTTCCCTTTCATGTTCTTTCTTCTTTTTCACTCAAAAGAAAATATGTGTATAGTAGCAGTACTGAATTTGAAGTTTCATTCATGAATCATGTGCAATTCTTTTTTTATTTATTTATTTAAAATTTCCTTATATAATACAAGAAAACATATTAATATGGAAAGATCAATTATTGAATAAGATGTTTTTTTTCGTAAATTTTAATATTAAAAATAGACAATCTCTGACTAATCTTAATAATTTTTGCTCTCATAACAAGCCACCCTATAAATATATGTATATATCAAAATTTGACCTAAAAAAAGAAACCCGAAACCTTTTTTTCAATAATATTTCTTTTTAGAATATGAAAAAAGACTATTATGACGAAAACAAAGTATGAAGAGTTCAAAAAGTGGTCATCATGATAATATTCACATGCACATTCCCTTCTCTTAATTGCGTTCGGAAAGTTATATAATGTTACAATAGTCTTTGCAATGACCTATATATATATTCAAGTCTAAAGAGTTATTATCATGCCATTCTTAATTTCTATCCTGCTCCTATTTTGTCAAACACATTATTTCCTCTCAACTCTAAATAGCAAATGTAACAACAACCAATAAAAGGCTATTCGTCATATCCATAATAAGTAGAAATTAAGTGCTATGGCACACCCTCCACGTTAGCGAACAACTTTTATTAGGTTTAGGAGTGATCAATAGGAAAAAAAAAATTATGAGAAGAAGCCTAAATCATTGGTATCCGGACTCTATTATCAGAACGACTAAATCTAGCTCGGAAGTAGTTACAATTAAGCCTCTTCGCCTCTCTCCGCAGATGTATTTAGTAGAGATCGAATTCAATAGCTCTTTCCATATGTTCAATCTACATTGCTAACTAAGAGAGCGATATCGAAAAAATTACAATTTTATAGATATAAGATAAAAACGGCTATTTTTTATTTAATTTTGTTATAACATTTATTGAAGGAATTTGAATATTGAAGGAATATAAGGGAGGATGTTCTTTCTCAATTTGGAAATTGGTCAAACTATAAGATAAAAAGGAAATAGCAATAGCCCTATACTTCAATTGAATTTTATTATTCAGAACCTTTGAATTATAAAAGCATATTCCTCTTGACGCTTGAGCATAGTGCAAATTCAACGATATTGTATATCAACATAAAATATGGAATACTTCTAATTTTTACTATAATATTATTCAATATAAATTAATAAGAAAGTTAGTAGAGAATTTTGAATTTTTTTACAGTGAAATTTCTTAAAAGAAAAATACTTCACTCGCACTCATCCAATACCTTTGTAAATATAATTTTTATAATAATAAGAACAACAAAACAATGCTTTTTTTTAAAAAATATTTATGCAATAAATAAATGATCATTTCTTTTACAATGTCGTCAAACTTAAAATTGATTATCTCTATTACAATACTTTCGGAGAGTTGTACTTCTGTAAATGGTTGGTTTGATTATAACTGAACTGAATTGATCAAAACTAAATGATCGAAAATTTTATAATAAAAATCAAACTTATTGATTTTATAAAATAAGCTAAATCAAATTGAATTAATTCAAATTAGTTTAATTTTTTTATTTTGGAATTTAGTTCAATATCTATTTTTAATTCAAATCAAATTCCAAGATAAATCAAAATAGATATTGAAAAAAAATAATATATATTTCAATTTTAATTTAATTTGATTTGATTCAATACATGTTTTGTTTAATTTTTTTCTGAATTTTAATAAAAAAATCGAAACAAATCGAAATAGTTAAAAAAAATTAAAATCTTCAAAACAAAACAGAATCAAATTTCCAAATCAACGCAGTTAAATCCAATTTTTGGATTAAAACCAAATCGTACTGACCCCAGTATACGCATATAAATTTAGAATAGCATTCAAAAAGCTTACTAACTTCAAAAAGAAGATGCCTTATTTTCTAGCCTTTCGGTTTTTTTTTTTTTTTAATTTTTTTTCTCTTTTAGTTGGAAAGAACTAAAGTGTGGTCCCCTGTACCCAAAAAATAGAATAACGCGTTGATTACACCCCTAGAGAAATTAAGTGGACCACAAATTATTTTGAAACCACATCTAAACAAGCCGAGTCAAATTTGAATTTATTAAATTTTAATTTCCATGGATTTAAAAATTTTAGAATCATACTTAACTTTGAATTTTGAGTTTAGTTTGAAAACTTTTGAACTCGATCTC